CTTGCCCCCATCTTTCTCGTGTGGTGAGTGCATGTCTGTGTGTGTGTGCCCGTCTGTCTGTCTGTCTGTCTGCCCATCGCTTGTGGTGATCGTCCGTCTGGCTGTATGGCTGTCTGTCTGTCTGATTGTCTGGCTGACTGTCTGGCTGTCTGGCTGTGTGGGTCTGCCTGGTGGTCGGGTGTTTTGCCTGCTCGTCCGTCTGTCCGTCTGTCTGTCTGTCTGTCTGGAAGCACTTGACCCACCCAACGTTTTTATGGCACTTATCGGATCGAGCAATTGAGGCGCCGAGCTTGTGGCGTCGAGAGAGGCATTCCATTGCATCATCATCATTCCATCTGCACTACCGTGGTGTGCTGTGTGATGTGGCGCGACGGGGGAGGGTTGAAGGAAATACGTGGCCGCCCTTGCCTTGCCTTGCCTTGCTGGGATGGGCCTGGCCTGCCTTGGGCCCTCCCCGGTCACTGCCACACACTCACACGCCCACTGGGCTATGTCGCCATTCATATGTAGGGTGCGCTCCTCTAGTCTGGTGTGTGAGGGACACATAGTGGAATGGGATGGACGAACCGAGTGAGCCGAGTGGATTTGGATGCCCCTGGGGGCCGTCTGGGGGGAGGGGGGACTAAGGGGTGACTGCGATGCGACTGGCTGCTGGCTGGCTGTTGATGGGTTTATATGTCTGTGAATATATAAGCGTACGTAGGCGATGGGCACACAGTAGGTAGACAGTACGGACTTAGTCAGTCGACTGACCGCTGGCACACACAACATGCACACACTCACACACACTCACACGCTTTCTTTGCCTTTCTTTTCGCCACCACACACACACGGGATTCATCCAATTAGTTTGTGCCGGGCTGCAGGCTGACCGACCTCTGTCTTGTCTGGTGTGCCTCTTACTTATCCTCCACACACGCACGCAGGCAGGCAACGACGTCCACCGCCCGCCTTCCTGTCTGTCTGTCTGTCTCTTTCTCTTTCGCCCTCGCACACAGACACTCAGCACACCAAGGCAGCCTGTCTGCTTCTTCGACTGATGTTTTTTGAGACACACAGGGGTTGCGGGTCTTACCATCCAGTTCATTCCATGTCGGGGGGTTTTGAGGGAGGGAAAGGCTGGGCTGTTCTGTGTGTTTTGGTGGGGGGGGCTTCAACGACATTTTTCCACACGATCACCACCACCTAGTCTAGTCTTTCGCATTCACACGGGGGAGACACACGGGGGCGGGGGCGGGGCGGTGTGTGTGTGTTGGGCGGGATGGGAGACTCGTGGACAGAATGGCTGGCAAGACACTCATCACTGAAACGATTCATATGCCGGAATAATCACCTGCAGCAGTGTCTCACACACATAAATCACTCAAAAGTCATGTGCACACAGAGACGCGGAAGTCGTTGGCTGGCTAAGTAGCTGTCTGCCCTGTGCTGTGCCACTTCTGTGTGACCAGCAAACGTCGTCTGGATACTCCCGTGCATCAGAACAATACCATTGTTTGATGAACCAATGATGTAACTGTCGCTGACCTACCCCCGCTCACATCTGCGGGTGTCCCATCCCCAGCAGCCAGCGCCAGCAGTGACTGCAGTGACGCCCCCGATCAGCAGAGAGGGGAGTCACCTCAGCCAGCCGCCGGCCGCGCACCGCCCCGCACCAGCAGCATATATCTTATCGGCCGTGTTGGTTTAGTGGTGGCCGTAGTAGCTGCTGTAGCCCTTCTTGGTGTAGGTCTTGGTTGGAGTGGTGGTCTCGTGGCCCAGACACTTGCCGTCGACGAGCTCGTACCCTTTCGGACAATAGTAGTGAGGCGCGGCTGTCTTGGTGAGCTCACAGATGTGAGAGCTCTTGTGGTGCTTGCTGCCGCGGTGCTTCCTCCTGCCGCCGTAGGAGGACGTCTTGCTCTCGCTGAGAGTGTACTCGCCCTTGGGGCAGTGGGGCTCCATGGGGGCCGACTTGTAGCTCACGCACTCCTTGCCCTTGCTGTAGCCCTTGGGGCACTTCGAGTGCTTGGGCGCCGTGACCGTCTTGGTGCACTCCTGCAGTCAGCCGAGTGACACACAGATTTGATGAGGTGGGCATGGAGCGGTGATTGATGAGGGAGGGAACCTACCTTGCCGTTGAGGTCGTAGCCCTTAACACACCGGTGCTGCGGAGGGACAGTGACGCGAGTCGAGACGGGCTGACAGACAGACACGACACCACCGCACAGAATGACCACATGGCGAGCTGAGCTGTGCTGTGCTGTGCTGTGGTCTCACTGACCTTGTCGCAGGACTTGCCGTTCATCGTGTAGCCCTTGGGGCACTTAGAAAGGGCCTTGGTCGGGACGACGCGCGAGCAGGTCTGGTCCACACACACACACACACACAAGTCCATCCATCCATCTGTGTGTCGTGTGGTTCGGCGTGCTTACCTTGCCGTCCATGTCGTCGTAGCCCTGCACACAAACACAAAGCCATCGATCCATCCATGTGTGTGGGTGGGCTGTCGCCGTGTGCTGCGCACCGTACCTTGGGGCACTTGTACTGCATCGGCGTCTCGGCGGGGGTCGTGACGTACTGAGGGACACACACAGTTGAGTGCATCTGTGTGTGTTGGATGGCGTGTGTGGTGGATTTTTGGTGGCTGACCTTGGTGCACTCCTTGCTCTTGCCGGCGTCGTAGCCCTTGGGGCACTTGCCAGTGGCCTTGATGGTCGAGTAGTTGACGCACTTCTTGTCGGCCTCATCGTAGCCCTTCGGGCACTTGTTGTGGACCGGGCCCTCCACAGTGACGGTGACGTGCTTGTAGCACTCGAGCGACTTGTCCTTGCCGTGGCTCTCGTCGTAACCCTGCACACAAACACACAAAGCCATCCCATGAGTCAGCCATATGTGTGTGCGGGTGGGGGGGCTGCCGCCGTGTGCTGTGCACCGTACCTTGGGGCACTTCCCATGCTTCTTGACGTAGTCAGTCTTGGTGCACTCCTTGCCCTCTCCGTCGTAGCCCTTGGGACACTTGTGGGAGGCTGGCTTGGTCTCCTTGGTGTAGCAAGTCATCTTCTTGTGCTTGCCAGAGCCCTCAGTGTAGCCCTTCGGGCACTTGTACTCGTCTGCACCGCACCGCACCGACACACACGAGTGGATCATCACGCTGCCTGTGTGTGCGTGTGTTGGGTGTGTGTGTGTGGCTTACAGGGGTGGGGAGTGAAGCGGGTGCACTCCTTGCCGTTCATGGTGTAGCCCTTGGGACACGAGTGGACCATCTTGGTGTAGTCGCAGTGGGTGTGCTTCTTGCTGGTGTAGCACCGCTCGCAGCCCTTCTTGCCCTCGGTGTAGCCCTTGGGGCATGATGACGTCTTGGGGACAGTGTCGTGCTTGCCGCAGCCCTCCTTGGTCTCGGTGCCTTTGGAGCAGTACTTCTCGGGCTCGGCGGTCTTGTAGGACTCGCAGGTGTCCTTGCCCTGGAGCGTGTAGCCCTTGGGGCAGTAGGCATGGGCGTGGGCAGACGAGGTGCGGGCGCAATTCTGCACACACACAGAACACACAGAGGGCATAAGCATGATGAGTGGCGTGCCATCTCTCTCTCGCTCTCTCTCTCTCTCTCTGTGTGTGTGTGTGTGTGTGGATGGTTCACGTCGCCGGCGTCGGTGTAGCCTTTCGGACAATAGTATTCTGCAGGGGCGGTCTCGCGGGTCGTCTCGTACTTGATGCACTTGCCCTTGTGCATGGTGTAGCCCTTGTCGCAGTAGGTGAGCATGTTGGCATAGTTTGGCTGACAACGCACCACACAGACACACACACAGTGACCAGATGGCGGATGCATCTAATGGCTGTCTGTTCTGTGTGGCTTACACACCTTGGTGCACTCCTTGCCGTTCATGGTGTAGCCCTTGGGGCAGTCATGCTGCATCGGGGCGGTCTCGGTGGTGGTGACGTACTTGATGCACTTGCCCTTGTGGTAGTCGTAGCCCTGCACACACACAACAGTGGATGGATGGATGAGGGCATATCTGCAGACGACCGACCTTCTCGCAGTAGCCGTGGGCGTTGGCCGTCTCGATCTTGGTGCACTCCTTGCCGTTCTGATCGTACCCCTGCAGACACCAACACACCGACGGCAGCGTGTGTGTGAGTGTGTGTGTGTGTGCGTGCGGCGTGCCTTGGGACAATAGTGCTCAGCAGCGACGCTCTCGGTGGAGTGGGTGTAGGTCACGCACTCGCCCTTGTGGTAGTCATAGCCCTTCTCACAGTAGGGGCTGGCGGGTTTGGTGTCGATTCTGTAGCACTCCTTGCCGTCGCCGCTCTCATAACCCTCTGCCAGTCATTGCCAACCCACCACACACATCAGCTGCATGGCTGCACTGCTGGTGGCCTG